TGGGGTTATCCTAACCCCTTTATTTGTTCACCTTTCCTAAAAGTAATTTTCAGTCCCAGTATTGAATGCTGAAGAAACAACAAATTAGTAGTTACAAATGGAAATGAGAGCCAGAGCAAAAGCTTTTGCCCTCTGTCCTGTAGCTAGAGAGAAGCAAGTTGGTTTTGCATAACATTCTTACATGCCAGTCCTTTGGACTATATTACAGAAATTGAACACAAAAACTTGTGTGTGTTTGTCTTCTAATATGTCATAGAAAATTTAAGATACATAACTTTTGACTTCAAGGGTGTCTGTGTCTATGTTTATCCTGTCTTTTATGGTTTCAGAAGCATCATGTGGAGTTCCTGGCAGGGTAATTTAAAGTCAGCATTAGGGCAGGTTAGTTTTTTACAGATTGACTAGCTGCTGCCTAATACCATGTGTGATAGCAGAGTTGGTGGTGGAGAGAAGCTCTGCCCTAAGAAGTGTCAGACCTGAACTCTCAGCACTCTTACCATGAGGCAGAATGATTCTCCTTCATTTAGTGTGTTGGAAATCTGGGTAAAATATGGAAGCACTTAAAAATAATTATTGTACTGCACATTTTTAATAAAAAAAACTATTGGAATTCATAAAAGTGCAGTAGTAATGCAAATATTGTTGTGACTGGTGACCATATCTGAGGTCCCTGTGGGAAGTTCAAAGTTAGTTAACTCACCTTAGGAGCTGGAGCTTTACAGCATATTTAATCCAAGTTCAGGGAAGCAAAACCTGTGTGTCTTTTGAACAAAGGGAGAACACTAGGGAGGGACAGGCATTTGAGCTGAAAAACAATCCTTTGCTGCTGTTAAGTACAAGCCTGTCCTTAGGCTTTGTTTGTTTAAAAATTGAGGCAGGCCTAGGAGGGGGACGAAAGCTCAGACAGTGCCCCCATTGTGAGATGTGCATTCTGCCTGTTCTCATCTAAGCTTCAGCAAGAATCAGGGAGATGTGTATGGTGAGGGGAAAAAAGGTTTTTTCTCAAAGAGAAGTACTTGCAATAATTGCACTATTGCAAGTATCAGACCTCTTTGGTTCCTGTACAAAGGCTGTATATTTGAAGAACTCAAGAATGTTAAATTGGCAGAGATCATTGGAAGAGAGTAATTTGGGCCATGTGAAAAACCTAAAACACTAATGAATCCCTGTGCAAGAGGCATTCTTTAAGGTGTTGGAGGAAGGTATATGGAATGGAAATACGGGCAGTGTTTGTGCATGAAAATAATCTAAATAATGTGAGTTTTGTTTTTGCCATGTGTGTAAAAGGAGTGTGTGTGGATATTGTTTTTATATTGCTTTTAAAGTCGAAGTGTTCCATCAACTTCATCACAATATATCAGAAAAACACTGTGTGAGTCCAGACTGGTGTAGAAAGTGCAGGAATGCTCACAGTGGGACAAAATTGCCCTTTCTCTAATGATTTCAGTGCAACAAAGTACAAGTTCAATCTGTGGGAAATGCTTGTGTGTTGGTATTTTTTTTGGTCTGAAGCCATGACTTTCAAAAGAACTTGATGAGAAGGTGTAAAGGTTAATAATGCAGGCTTTCTTGTTTATTTTAAAAATTTCTTTATCCACTGATTGATTTCCAGAGGTCAGGTCTTTGCTGAAATTTAAATCAATCAGGAACAAATATGTTCTAAAATTCAAGGTGTAGGTCTTTATTTTTTTTTTAATCTGAGTTGAGCAGCATTATTTACTGTTAGTGATGACACTTATTTCAGTGTTATGCAGTTGTTTAGGGGTATAAATGTGCATCTTTGTGGTTTAAAAAAGCTTTGCTAGGTCCATTTTTACCCTTGTTTTTCTTAATATATTTCTGTTTTCACATATAATTGAAAACTATATCAGTACTTGTCACTTGCAAGGTTCCAGAGGTTTTTATTTTCTTCTAAATTGGCTAACAGTAGAGTTTAGAACGTGTGATTTCTTTGTAAATAATTGATGCTTTAAAAAAATTTTAAAAGTGACAGTCCCTGATTATCCAACTCAAAACCCCCTCATATTTATTAATTCATCCAGTTAGCTGTGAAAAGCTTTTCCTTTTTTTTTTTTTCTCTTTAATTTGTATTACAGATAAAGTGACGAGCACTCATGTGCTGAAGCACCAATCAGTTGACTTGTATATTTTGCTTCTAGTTATATAGATCTAAAAGTTTTACTTGTATGAAGTTGCATTAGTAGTTTTATCCATGGGAAGAAACGTTGACAATTCTGTGACTTCTGTTTGATAGTGTATGGCAATTGTGTGGTTTACAGGATTCCTTGGTAAACTGATACTCCTGAAAGTGCTAAATTTTCCATTTCTATGCAAGTCAAAGCAAAATTACTTAGTTAAGTTGTTTGCTGCTTTGCCTTTTAGCAAGAAGAATCTGTGATACAGACAATGAGTAAATACGGTTTTGATCACGTGTCCTAAATTAGGAGAGACTGAGTGACTGAATTACAGCTCTGACTTGGTGCTGTTGCAGGCTTTCAGCTTGTGTCAGCTTTGCATGTATTATGAAATCTGTTCATAGCACATAAAAACGCTCAAACCATATTGCTGAGCTGCGGAAGCCCCACTGCTGATACATCAAAGAAAGCAGCAGCTGTCATCCAGTTTTAGCCACGGAGCTTTTGAATGCCTTAATCCTCTTCCCAAACAGAAGAAGGCAGAGAGAGTGTACTTTCTATATCCACCCCCCTTCTATTTTTTTGAAGTTTTGGTAGCAAAATCCAGAAGCTGTGTTCAGCAGCCATCACTGCATGGCACAAGATATAATTTTATTTGCATCTGATCTGGACATTTCAGTCTTCATGTATGCTAAGCCCTTTCAAATGTACTTTTTATTAAAATTAGAAATTACTCACTTTTTGTTTATTCTCAGGTGCTCAAAGTATCAAAGTGATTATTCATTTTCATTTCAGTTTCCTTCAAACTGGTATTCTTTGTTCCCTTTCAGTTGCTGAAGAGGTGCATGTTAGGATTGTACTCAGGAACCTGAGTTACAGGAAACACATGTCTACCATTGGAACTAATATATTTTACTTGGTGTGATTCCACATTTTCAGATTTTTTTTTAACAATACAAGTTTAGAAGACAGTTACTACAAACTAACTTCCTTAAGAAGTGAGGAAGATATACTACAAATATAAGTTTAATCTTTTAGAGCTGTTTCAAGATCTGTATGGTGCAGTGTCCTGTCTCCAAAGTGAGTTATGGCAGAAGTCAGAGGAAAGGTACTAGAGCTGAGCAAGAAAGCATTGATGCTTCCCTGGCATATTTTCCTGTCTCAATAGCGCTTCCCAAGACAGAAGCTGTTCTTTGAACTGAAAAAACACGTACAGGTTTTTCTTCTTCACTAATTTGCCTAATCACTTTCCCTAACTGCATTTTAAAATAAATATATAAAAATACATTTCAAGGGAGTAGCATGTGCAAAATTTTTATATTGAACCACATTACCAAAATTATTTGAAATAAATTATAAAACAAAGTGGTTTGTGTATTGGGTTTTTAATTTGGTTTTGTTTATTAGCCACCATCTTGCAAAGTGAATTTGCACTGCAAAGTAATCCCAACAGAGGAATGCAGTACACAAGTGTAAAGCTGTCAGACTACAGCAATCATTAAATCATCTGTCTAGATAAACTAATGGGAAACGATTTTAAGTCATTGCTAGCTTCCAGTCTCTCAGACCAAAAATACTTTGTTGTGCTGAAGTAAGTAAGCAGATCGAATAAAATTTAATGTTTTAAGAATCTTTTTGTGTTGTCCTACTTCCTCAAAAAGAATTTCAAAACTCTGCAGTAAGAAGTGTGTCGACCAGAATCATACCGAAAGGTAGATTAGAGAAAATGTCATTTGATGACAAGGTTTGGTATATTTAGAAATGCTCCTCTTATTAAAGTTGCTGCTGTGCCAACTACTCCTACACTGGAGTCTGCTGATTTGTGTGACATGCAATCTATCCCAAGAAACAAGGAAGATCAGAGATTACATGCAATAACTCCAGTCCTACTTCCGTTGTCAGACAAGGATCTCCCAGCAGTGACATTACCTTCTTGTGGTTTACTACTGCAATCCCATTTTCCCTTCCCTCTTCATTAATACCCATTTTCAAACTCCTCAGTTTGAAATGCCATCTGTTTACATCTTTAACATTCCAGAGGCTTCGATATTGCTCATAAGGGAAATACTTAATGTCAAGGGAGAAAATGTGCATTTATCATTGTGGGATGTTCACAGCAATCTTTTCCTAGCTCAGACTGAGTAAGAGGTCATTGGTATGCTTTGCTCTTGACAGGGCACAAATAAGAAGCCTCAATTCAGTGAAAACTTGAGGTACGACCTCATCGCTATGGAGCACAGTTGTTGGTAGTTTCAGTGGCCTGTGTGCAAAGCTTTGCACAGCTGTGCAACAGGCAAAGGAGTTCTTGTGGGCTGCTGTCCCAGTGCTCAGGGAGTAATACTGGACATCCACAGCTGGGTCCAGACACCTCCCAGGTCAATGAAGAGACACAAACTGAAGCGAAATTTCCAAGTGTCATTAAGCTGTAGGAGGAAGAAGGCATCTCATGTTAGTTTATTCTTTCTTTGAATTTCTTCCTACCTGTCCCACAAAAAAAGGTCATGTGTGTGCAATATAGTCTTACAAAATACAGTAATGTTACTTTGATGTTAGCAGTATCAGAAGGAAAAAGGGAAAATAGCCTTAAAAGGTCCTGTTTTGTTTCTAAATGATGAATTTTTATTTCAAATATTGAAATAAGAAAGCTGTAGGTATGTGGTATGAGCTGCTCTTGCTTATTCTATGCTGTATTACTCAAGTGCTTACTCAAGTGCTTCTATAAGTATTAGCAGATCATTTTGATTTTGATGTTTATTGCCCCCTCAGTTGCTGGGCTTGTTATACGAACACCAGAAAAGTTCCTCACTTGACCTATTAATTCATGTAAATGGCATTAACATATATTTCTTTTTTTGTTTTTTACAGGTTATTGAATCACTAGGGATTATTATATATAAAGCCCTGGACTATGGTTTGAAGGAAAATGAGGAGAGGGAATTAAGTCCTCCACTGGAGCAGCTTATTGACTACATGACTAATGCCACAGAAACAGATGGGAGTAGGGATGAAGGATATGATGCTCTGGATGAAGGAGTGGAGGATGACGATGATGACAAAGAGGAAGTCGAGGCCATTCACTCCTATAAAGATGTCATGAAGGTACAGCAGCGTGCAGTTTATTGTTGTGTCAGTGAGAAAACTGTTTGCTGTGATATTATTTTGTGTGATACTGGCTGTGTCATTTTCTGATTTCCCCGGTCCTTTTATAAGGTTTGCTTGTGAAAAAGGCATGCAGTATTATTTCAAGTTTGACAGTAGGCAACAGAAAATCCATGATCAACTTCAGCATTGGATGTGCCATTAATATCACAATCTGATTTAATCTCTGCACTGGATAGTCAGCCTTCCAATGTAAACATCTGTTGAATTACTTTGTGTACTCTTGGATACTTCATGGTGTGTTTCAATTAATTCACCTTTTCATTAGCAGGTTATTAGTGTAATTACTTCTTATCAGTCCCTTTGCTTGCCACCCTCCACTCCCAAAGCACAGCAGTGCTTTTGTACGAGTAGCTTATTTGTATGGAGTGAGTCAGGACATAGTATTTCACTGGTGATCATTATTGTTGCAGTTCTTAACCTGAGTTGTGAAATTCAGAAATATAGCTTATGAATTTTAATTGTGACAAGTTCTTTAATGTTATCTGGGCAACTGTGAATAATCACTTAAAAGTATTACCTTCTGTTTTCTAAAGAGTAATCTGTGCATGTTTTAGAGCCCAGTGAGCTCTTATTACAGAGAGAGTATTAATAAGCGTGGCTGAAAAAAAATAGTGTAATTTGTTTAACTCATAAAAAATCTGATATTAATACAGGTTGGAAAACATTATGCCAACTTGTACCAGAGGATTGAGTAATTTACAGTGCTTCTTCATAAATGCAAGTCATATCTAAGGACCAGGAGCTTAGTGCACCACATAAATTAAGTGTCATGGTGGAAGCTGAGACTATAGGAATGTTCCAAATAGCCCATTTGGGACTCACAACACATTGTTACGCAGGAAAAAGACCCTGCTAAAACTGTTCAGTTCTTCTGGGTTAACAGTAGAGAGAGACTCTTAGGAGACTGGAGAGGAAGTAACTTTAAGGTTCTTTTGCATCCTCCTTGAGTCAGAAGTAATGCTAAATGCTTAATGCCTTTGTTTTTCTTCCCTCCCTCAGAGAAGCAGAGGCCAGAGGGAGAAATGAATGAAATGGTCTTTTGCTCCCTGTGATGGGGAGGGCCTGGCTGGCTGAAGTGCTCTGCCCTTCAAGCCCCTGCCAGCCTTGCCGAGTTGCTGCGTGCAGGTGCTTTGCTCTCTCCTCCCTCTGCCTCTCCCTGACTCCTGCCCCAGAGGGGGGCAGTTGCACCCTGCTAAGCCCCCAGGCAAGCTGCTCCAGATGGTCTAGAGGAAATTTAAAGATTGATGGGATACATTCCTCCTTTTCCCCCAGTTTGGCAAAATGCTGTGAATTGGTGACAGCTGAAGTTAGATTGTTAAGTGAAAGTTTCACTTAGTGCAGAGGCAGACAAGACCTTTGCATACACAGAGCTGAAGGCAGTGGCTTTGTGGAAGTGATTATTTTGCAAGTTCTTTACTTGATTTCTGAAAAAAAATGGAAGATAAATTTGGAAAACTTTGCTGAACTCCTTTAGGTACACTGATGTAGATGTCCCTGAAATCAAAAGCAATTTCAAAAGAAAATTCAACAGGTTTCAAAGGTTAAGGCCATGGAATGGCATCCTGTTCATTTGGCTTTGTTAATATCTCTGCTAGTCTAAGGTATATGCTTGTTTCTGTGTTTTAAAATCAGCATCTTCCATTTTATTTCTTCATCATATTTTGTTAATGGTTTTATATCATCCTGGACATGTACTGCTTCTGTGACTTCATCTTAGTAAACTGAAGGTCAACTGTCATTTGTACATCATCCTAACTTTTACTTGTCCATCCCTTGGAATTCTCTTTTATTTCTGTTGTTATTTTTGCCTAAATTATGTGCTGTGGGCTTAACTCTGAAAGTTACCTTTATTCCCTACTCAGTGTTGTTATCGCATTGAGAGGACTAGAATGGCAGCATTGTTCTGCCATATTTTTGACATGAGTGCAGATTTGCAAGATCTTTTTTCTTGACTTAATACCTTTTTAGGGGTAAGACCATCTTCTGCATGTGGCTTTCTCTTATTTTCCCCCCTCCCCCAGTAGTGGTAAAATGTTAGAGGCTACACCCTTATTTACCCAGTGACTGTTTCACAACAGTAGTGTGTGGTCTTGTGACCATGAGGTTCAATTATTTCAAGATCCTCTTGGCAAGACTCACTGTGAAGCTTTTTCCTCCACAATTTGTAACGAATGCTGAAGCAAGTTTGCTCGTTGAATTGAGAACTGTTCTTGCTTCCTCTGCATTCTCTACATCACAAGCTTGGAAAATGGTAGAGATGGCCTGTGTGCTACTAATACTGATTTTTAAGGTTTTTAACTATGTAGGCTTCCCTCTGAAAATTATTTTGTTCTTGAAAAATGACTATATGTTCCTCCTACAAAAACTGTCTTTGTCTGGCCACTAAAATGGAACTTTTCACCATTAATCACTAACTTGGGTGAGAATATTTTGTGATTAAAACACAGAAGTTATTAAGATATTTGTCAGGTTTTTCTGTAATGTGAAGTAAGCAAGGTCAATCCTGCACCCTCCCCCTAGCCTGGAAAATGCTGACTAATATGGCAAACACTGATTCCCAAGAACTGGGAAAAGGGTAAGTGCTAAATAGTACTGCCAAGATTATCATTGGAAAAGCCAGTGGGGAAGACACAGACAAGCTTTTGTGCTGCTTCTTGGTATATTTTTTGCTGATTTAGCCTCTGATTTGCTTGGCAAGACTAACCTGCTGGCCAGACTTGACCTACTGTTTTTAAAAATGCATCTGTGAAGAGAGGAGACATTGGTTGCCAGAAGCTTTTAGTCTTTGATATATTTCTGATTTGCCAGCCCTGCTGCAAATGAAGAGGGAAATGGAGACAGGAAAGACTGGACATTTTCAGACAGATGCTTTCCTTGTTTGAGTCCCTCTCCCCACACCATCCACCATGTGTACACAGTGTGCTCTGTGGTTCAGGAAGTCTGTGCATGTGGGGAGTGCCAGCTTGGCTCTGCATGTACACAGGGCACAGCAATCCCAAGGGATCGGGAGCACGGCAGGCTCACAGCACACATACCCCTTGGGAAGCTTGGTCAACAGAGAATAGACAGGGAAGGCCTGGCATGCTGGGCAGCGTTGGGCTTGCTAAGGGTGTGGGAAGTCCTGTCATGTGGCAGCTTTATCACAGCATGGGGCCCTCCCTGATACTGAGACAAGATGATGCAGTTTATCAACCTCTTCCAGAGTACGCTCAAACCCTAATTCGCTCCTAATCTTAACATTATCCCACAGATCTCTGCAGTCAGATGGTTTAAACCAACAACATTTTTCATGTTAACCCGGAGGCACTTTCTAAGATGCGATTTATCAATATCTGTTGGCTTGAGCCCCAACCCTAAACCCAGTTACAGTATTATACTCCATTCTAGGTCAACACCCCTTTCTAATTCTGGATGTAAATGTAACCTCATAAGGCTTTGATAGCAGGTTTTATTTGCTGGGCTGAACTGCCATTCTAGTCTGTCATTTCTTCCAGATTTGGATGTCATTTTAGCCAAATCACTACTGCCAGTACTAGACTTTACCTCAGCCCTTCTGCAGAGCAGAGGTGTAGTAGAGGTGTTGTCAGCTGTGCAAGTCACGACACTAACCTTTGTCACTGCCTTGCTACCTTTTTCTGCAGATCTTGTAGAAGGTACAGAAAGGAGGCCCTTCCTGAACCAGTATCTTTCATATATTCACCTTTCATCCTAAAAGTTAACTCAGCTTTTAACAGGAACCTTATCTGTAGCTAAGCCACACCTTCTTGTCTAGGACACAAATACGAGGTGGATGGTCTCTGGTGCTCAATGGCTTTGGGTCCCAGGTCTTACCTAATTGCTTTTAAGAAGTTCAGTAATAATGTTTGTTAATTCTGACCAAAAATGAAATGTCCTGCAAATGCTGCTTCACAAAGGTGAATGAGTGGCCCAGATCCCATAGTAAACAAAACTCATACACAGAAAATCTCCATGCTGACTTAATTTGCATGAATTTTTTTTTTTTCAGAGAACATGGCCAGTATTATGTTATCTTGTTATAAGAAATATGAAAAAGGATGCAGTTTGCAATATTTTTATTGGTAGAAAATGATGTTTGTGCTTTGCAAAGAGGAAGAATAAATGGTTTCTCTGAACTTCAAACACTCTTCCTCTCCCATTTCAGTTTTTTTAATCTTTGGCATGGTCATGAGATGAGAAACTTGTATGTCTAGGTGACTCATATATCTTGGTAGTTCAAAGATATGGCTGACTCCTTTCAGCTGGAAGGAACTGAAATTTACAGTGGTGATATTGATCTGCCTCTGTTTTATTTTGAGTACTCTGATAGTAGTACAGATCTACCATCTATGGCATGTGTAAGATTATAGGGGAAAAGTATGTCCTGTCTCAATGCAATTATAGGCAGGATAAGAAGATCTACATTTAGATCTAAGTATTTTGGAAACTCCCTTCTGAGTCTGAGGACTATTATCATATAGATGTTGTGACCCCATGTAAGTATAATATGAGAGAAACCAGAAAATGCAGTTAAAAACAAGTCAGAGTATTTGTTTATGACAGACAGTTAAAGAGTTCATGTTACTGGAATTCAAAAGCCCAGGATTTTGTCTAGTCCAAGCTTAGTAAGGCACAGATTTCTGTGAGTAATTCAGTTTAAGGCTGGGCTGGCTTAAGCATTTTTATATGGGCCTGCAGAACAGTATTTATGCTTCATTTCCAAACAAGCAATTTGCAGTGTATGCTGTAACTTTGTGTGAAGCTGGTGAAGATTTGCAAACTTACTGAGATGGAAAAGAAAGGCTCAGAAGTTGCCAATTCATTTTATATTAGAAAGGAATGCAACAACGTTGGTGAAAATGCTCAAAAAAAGACAATTGATTCTTTCCTTTCTCATGAATCCTGTATTCACATGTTTATGTGCTAGTCTTTATCTTGAT